CCCCCCCCCCCCGTCCTCTTTCTATATGATCCGACGTTGTCATTCGACTAACCCAACAACTGCCCCCTTTGATAACTCTAGTTCCACCTCGCGTGTACCTCCGTTAAAAAATGGACATCGGCCTACTACTACGGATAACTAATTTCTCTAACATTTTTCTCCCGTATATATACTTACTAACAACTTTCAGTGGGAACCGCGATAAATTGGTTCACGGTAATTTCCCAAACAACACAAAAGTTCAAAAGATGACGCTTCGTTACATCTCTCGAGGATGTCCGATTAAACTGAAACTTTTTTAACATTTGTGTTGTCTGGATATTTTCACTTGATTCGAGCGAATCTATCTACGAGGTATCGCACTTAATTCATGCTACAGTTGGTATGTAGATAGATTTTATCCTGTATCAGTAAAACCGTAATCCGGGCTACTAACGTTCCTCTTATCCATCTACCATGGAATACCGCCGATGAACCGTGGACCGTTCTCTCTCGTTACAGACGTGAGTCCACACCTCATCTTCAAGAACGGAATGACGCCGACTCTCTGGCCGCAGGACGTTCCCTTTCCGCCTGAAGAGGGTAAGGAGGAAGTGGCATCGACGTTCGGCGACACGGACACGCAGTCGGGCGCGTTCAGTCCGGCGCCGGACGCCAATTCCATCCAGTACCCAGCGTACTTCAAAGATCCAAAGGGCGGTAATCACGCGGTCTTTGGCGCAGGTGGCTCGGGCAGCTTTGGCGCCTTGCAGTACATCAAGCAGGGTGGCACGAAGAGCTGTCTACCGGACGTGATACAGCACGGCCGCTCGGCCGGCATGCCGTTGTACGTGCGTTGTCCGATTTGTCAAAAAGAGTTCAAGCAAAAGTCCACGTTACTGCAACACGGGTGCATACACATCGAGTCGCGGCCGTATCCTTGTCCGGAATGCGGCAAGCGATTCCGGCAGCAATCCCATCTCACGCAGCATCTGCGCATTCACACGAACGAGAAGCCGTACGGCTGTGTGTATTGCGGACGTAATTTCCGCCAGCGCACGATTCTCAATCAGCATCTGCGTATCCATACCGGTGAGAAACCTTACAAGTGCCAGCAGTGCGGCAAGGACTTCCGTCAAAAAGCGATCCTGGACCAGCATACGCGCACTCACCAGGGCGATCGGCCGTTCTGTTGTCCGATGCCCAACTGCAGGCGGCGGTTCGCTACCGAGCCCGAGGTGAAGAAACACATCGACAACCACATGAATCCGCACGCGGCCAAAGTGCGCCGGAATTCGAACGGCGACACGAAACCGCCTGGCACACCCGCGGGCCTGGGTCCGGTACCTGTGCCTCGCGGCCTCACGCCGACGGTCGTCAAACCGGAGCTTTACTTCCCGCAGTGTTACGCGCCCGCGTTCAATCATCAGCCACCAGTCTCCACCGCGCAGTTCCCCGGCGCCCAGGCGAACGGCGTCTCCGTGACCGGCGAATTCAAGCCACCGACCGGTCTGCCGCCGCAGTGACTAACCGTCCATCCTGCCGCCTACTAGCAAGCAGGAATCCCCGCGCTGAGGTTTCAGCGCTGTTTCGGTCCCGCCGCGTTGGAGGCCGACGCAACGTCGAACGCCATCGCCGCCGCCGCCGCCGCCGCCTCTCGATGCGGCCAGCAGCCGATCCAGCAACATTACCCGTGACATTTATCATTGTGCATTTACTAGAGTCTTCTTTATTTTCGTCGTTTCACAACTCGCTCGCTCTTCTTGTCGCCATCGCTGCTCAGCAAAACCTCAGAAGCACGTCGCCCAGCTAGTCTTGAGCTCGACGGTGAGAACGGTTTCGTCGTTGCAGACCGCATTACCGCGATTATCCGAGAAACATTGCGAAAATGTGTATTATCCGGTCGCTACGTCTCTGGTTGATTGTCGGATAAAATTATCTCCGAGAGAAAACCGCTTTTCCGTCTGAATCGTAGCGCACCGGCTATGATATAAACAGAGAGAGAGAGAGAGAGAGAGAGAGAGAGAGAGAGAGAGAAATTTCGGGGATACAAATTTGGATACTTGTTTTTGAAACGTCTTGGATTTTTGCGTTGTTTGAAAAGCAAGGAAGATACGCGGATACTGGGTCACTCCCCTGTGTGTCACCCATTCATCGAATATACACCGTTACATATATCGCGAAAAGACGACAATCCTAGTTAGGATTATCGCTATCGTTACACGGTCGCAACCGAGTAACAAACGATAATGCGATTATAGTTGCTCAGGTATCAAACGGTGTCTCGCGACACTCATAGTAAGTTCGTGATATACATTTTCTTCTTTATGTACATGATCGCGATCAAATGTTTGTTACTTCCTCGCGATCGTTCGTTATTTTCGACTTTTCAGCAGCACACTTCAGATTAGATCGACCCCCCCTTTAGGGATCCCAAGATTAATGCTTCGTTATCGTTGGCGCACACACCGATGACAGTCTCTAGTTAATCCGCCAGCACACGCAAATACCGCTTCTCGCTGCGATCCGCATCTCCAAGTCGTCGAATTCGCACGAAGGACAAACCACGTAAGGGGGACAACGGAAAAGCTCGGAAAAGCGGCCGCCGCTCACCGTCGAGTTTCTTACTAGACAGACCAAGGTAAAGTAATCAACGAAGAGTCTCGTCTATTCCTCCGTACGTATTTTTTTATAATTAATCGATTACGACGTACCTTCTCGCGTTTCTTTCGTGGACAAGCGAGTAGCACGAGAGTTCGGGGCTTACTCCGCGATAGACATAGGTGAATTCAGAGAGATTGACAAGAGAGTTCCCGCGAAATCCCTCTGAATCCATCTATCTTCTTCTCGCGAGATGGTGCATGCGCCGCCCGGGGCGTCACCGCTCACCGTTCAAAATGCCACGTATCGCCAAACGGGTTGAAGATGTTCGATTTCGACCAGACTAAAACGATTGTGATACAATATTTAACTTGCCTATGTTTTAAAAGTTTCGCGGGAGAGAAAGAGAACGAAAGGAAGAATGAGTGAGCGAGTGAGTGACAACGATATATATATATATATATATAGAGAGAGAGAGAGAGAGAGATTTTGCTTCTTCGAGGGAGCGCTTACATGACCACGAGAAGAATACCTGTAAATATGTATGTAAAGCCGTTCACTTCAAACAAAAGAAGAAGAACGAGAAGGAACGACGGAGAAAAGTGAAGTATGTGAGCGTGTGCGAATGAGACTGGGTGTGAATGAGACGAAAAAAAAAAAAATAAAAGGTACGCCTGAATGAGAGGGTAGGAGAAAGACGATATAGGGGTTGGGGCGGGAAGGCGGGGGAGGGGAGATATGACGAGCAGAAAAGAGGAAGATACGAGAGATTATAGGTAGAATTTACGAGAACGATGCATCCTCCCACTGTGCTGAGCCATAGCTTTCAGTAGATCGAGTCGCGACGACGATGATGATCCGCGATAGCACGAAGGGAAAAAGAAATGGAAGAAGAGGAGGAGGAGGAGGGGGGGAGGGTGCAATTCTTGTATACTATAGTAATATTTGAATGTATATTTATACAGGTTATATTATATTCTAATTATATGATGATATTTTGAATCGGTTTTAAAATCAGATTGGTGCTGATAAAAGAAACTAGATAAGCAAGAGGAGGGAACGTGGAAGAAGGCTGAGACACCGTAGAAGTTAGCGTTTAAGTAGCGTAGACGATAGCGTAGCTCAAAGTAAAGAAAAGACTTTGAAGGACCGCGCTCGCACGGGGTCCGCTCACATCTCGGAGAATTATCATCGTCACTCTTTTTAAAAAAAAAAAAAAAGGGGGAAAAAGGAAAGGAAAAGAAAAAGAAAAACAATTCGTGGCAATACTTAAGTGAAGAGCAAAATATGGGAGAGGAGAGGGGCTGAAGAAAGCTTCAACGTATTAGAAGATAATCTTTTAAAATTTCTATATTAAGACGTGTGTGATCTCTCTAATTATTGTACATTACGTAATGAGTCTAAAACTTAGACGACGAGATACGTTAGTATAATTACGATTACGTACGTATTAGGTGTTCTACAGTTAGTCTTTTGTCATTTAGAGACACAGAGATCTGAAGATGATAATTGCGCGGCCATATTCTCTGTGGCCTGTTCGTAGTGCCTCGGAATTGCTGCTCGCGGCAGTGATTTGACCGTATTTTTAGGAAGGTATATTATATTATATTATATTGAGGAACCGCAATTATATTATACTCTCCAATATACAATATTAAAAAAAAGAAAAGGAAAGGGGGGGGGGGAATCGCGTCGTAAGGCGTCGCGTTAATAAAACGACTCATTAAATTATTATGACGAAAGAAAATCTACTTATATATATCGCGAGGATGAAATAACGACGACGATATAATCGTGGTTGTTGTTCACTGTTGTTTTTGTTGTTCTTATTATTTTTACTTTTCTTTCTCTCGTTCATTACGTATAAAATGTGAAGTTATGAAGAAAAAAAAAAAAATTAGACGGCGAATGGGAAAATATTGGAACGCCGGGAATGGCGGGGTCTCTTCCGGTGGCCGTTCGTAATATTTATGAGTATTATTATTAACGTTGAAATAATTTTAATACTTATCCACGTGTCCTTTTTAGGATATATCTTTATTGTTCTTGCGGCGAAAAGAAGAAAGCGCAAGCAAACTTGTTAGACATTAATGCTAATCTAATTGAGTCATACTCGAAACATCGATCCGTATGCCTTCGTACACACATGCGTCTGTAACAAAAATATGATATTCTTATTATGTTTCGTAGAAACTTTTTGCAATAGCATTCTCGATGTGGTAAAGTCGCTCAGTAAACAATAAGTGAGTTTAAGATGAAAATCATAGATAATGAAACTAAAGTAGGTACACGATTCGTAATCTTGTAGGGCGCAGTACACCTTGAAACTTTTAAAAAGTCGAAAAATTTTTTTGTAAATTTAAAAAAAATGTAATTTGAAGTCTTACAATTAACAACAAAAAATCCTAAGGGAATATTCGAATTATTTTTCAAGTTATAGCACTTGAAGTGAACGCGCGTACTTACGTAGGTAGTCGATTCAATCGTTGCACTGCAAACAATGTGAACATTGAAGCCAAAATATACATGCAGAAGAATACAAAACATGGAAGGAATTACATGGAAATGATTGCTTCATCAATCACGAAGAAAACGCGGAAAATTTTAAACGCGTTTTTCTCGAAATCGTATCTTGCAAGTGTACATGAGTTCTCAAGTTACAATTGATTAGCTTGCGATTGGAAATATATATACAAGAAATAGTAGTTTTCGTCTGACTGACAATTTTGTTGATAACATTTTTAGTTTCCATGATACAATAACATTTATAATGTCAAAAAATGTGTCAAAAAATTGAAACGTGTATATTTTTCAAAAAAAAAAAATGAAGAAAAGCTCGGTCAGACGATAGGAAGTATATTATAATTTATGAAATTATTCCGATTTTTTATTTCAGAATAATCAAAATGGCGGAATCATATAGACTGTTTACCTGTATACGCAAAATCATATTCAATATTTTTCAATAAAATTTACAGTATAACAAATTCAATATATGTATTAATAAAGTGCCAAAAGAGGACACATTTATTAATTTTTTGTTTGCAGTCCAAACTCAAAAAATCTTCACTTTTAGATTGATCAAAGTGTACTGTTCCCTTAAACAGTTTACGAAACCGTATATAAAGAAGAACTTGAAGATTACTTCATTTTTCTATTATTTCATTTTTGCTTCGCGACTTCTTTAATTGTTATAACTTACAATGTTAATTGTTATAACTTATAGCGGTCATTTGCATAAAAATGGAAGAATACACTTCTCGAAGACTTTAAGATTTGACTCACCGGAAAAAATATAATTAAGACAAAAATGATCCTTTCATTCCTTTAGCACTATAGACTTCAAATTGACCGCACTATAATCGTTTCTCAATTAGAGATTTATATAAATAGTAATTCATTTTTATTGTGAACATCTGTTCTTATTTACATGTTTCACTCGTTATCAAAAAGACAAAATATTTTTTGTCGGTCGGATAAATATCAGTGTCCGGAATGTTTCTCGTCTTTCACAAATAATATATCAATGATTTATATTATCCCAAAACAGTAACACTCGAATAAAAATTGCAACCGTTTTACAGATGACAGTCATAAAACTTTTTTTTTTTAAATTATATTTTCTTTTTCTTTTTTTTTGTTATTTTCCAGGACAACTAAAATTTCACTTTTAAAAATCTTTAATCATATATATTTCTTATACATTTTGTACGTTAAAAATAATCTGTCTTTTATACATTTTATTTCTCTACGAGACGAAAAACATTAAAAACTCAACTGACGAATGTCCAGCACACACAATGATACGCGCGATGTAAATTATAAAATAAAATATAAATTTACGAGCACTAATTTATGATGTATAAGAAATTAAACATTATACACATTTTAAATAAAATAATTTTTAGCAAACATTTTTGCTCAAGACTTTCTTGTAACTATAATTAATGGCCGGTTTTTACATGCACTTCTCCTTCGGTCCAATTTATGTCAGATCGGAAATCTCAACGACGATGGTCTTATTTCGATCGGTAAAACTCGCCGCGGGAAACATTGCTCGCAAACCGTGTGGTAACGTTGAAAGGAGTAGCGCACTAGGGAAGGAATTTTTCTGGAAAAAATAGAGAAACTGCAACAAGAGGAAAAAGAATTACGTTGAGCATTACAGCATTTCGAACTTATTCATGCGCACGGCCGATTGTACTTTAAAGAAATCCGTGATAACGAAAATAACCGATTGCACAAAGACACACATATATAAACATATTAACATAACAGGCCAAGCTTAGAAGGGGGGTGGGGGGAGAAAAAAAAAAGAGAGGAAGAGGTAGAGACACACGTACTCGCATTTCCCGACGTAATCTTCTTTCTCTCTAACGAGTCAAAACATTATCGAGAAGCGAATTAAGTTTGATGAGAATCGCGTAAACTGAAAAATGTGAAAACGAAAATAATAACTGTTGTAGACTATGTGTAGATAAAAACAGATATTTGTTTTTTTTTTTTTATATTATTACTACGAAGTACTCGATATAATTGTATCATTATATCTTATTATATATTATTACTATATTATTATTTTATTATTAATATTATATTATTATTACTATTATATATATGTAATAATTATTATATTATTATTAAGTTTTATATAAAAGAGATATTATGTATGGTGCATTTCTTTTTAGTATCGTCACAGTGTTTTCATCACCTTTGTTTTTATCATCGCTATATCGACTGTGCGAAATTCTCTCACTCTGTTTTCATATTCGACAAGAAGTCTCTTTCTTTTTTTATATGCTACTATCGATATTAGTTGATTATTAGAGAGAAGTGCTTATGCTTTATTATACTCTAATCTCGCAGTCACAAAATCCGCCGTGTGATATAACAATACGTATATTCGAGTGTCGCGCGAACGAAGAAGAAGAAGCGATGTCGGATTGGTGTTTTTTTAATCTCTTATATATATATTATATATATAAATATTTTATATACATATTGCAAGATGTACTTTGCAAAGAGGGGAAGAGGGGCGGGAGGGGGGGGGGGCCTAGGGTTTTCTGGCCGAATGACAGGGACGTTACTTCGTACTTTTAAGTTCCGCATACGCGCGAGAGACCGCAGACTTCGTGGCGAGCTGCTGCGGGTAGGGATGAATTTATATGAAGGGACTAAATGCGGCTTAAGACTGCTCGGAAGGAAAACCACTGAATTAGATTGTAGAAGAATCCGTTTCGGAAGAGAGACAATAGAAAAGAAAGAAATGCAAGATGTATTTCTTCTTCGCCTCGGTTCCCGTAAATGTTATTAGCTACAGACCGCGAAAAATCATTCCGTGCCTGCGAGCGAAACTGGTTCGGGTGGTTAGACGACGTCGGAAGGTTGCGCGGTGCCATTTCGATCGACGAAGAGAAAAGAAGGGAAGCGGCGAGAGGTAGGAGGAGAGAGAGAGAGAGAGAGAAAGGTATATATACGTATTAAGTAGAATCGGCGATGTACTGTGATAACGACCACTAACGACATACAACATCCGCTTAATTTCATTTGATCCTACGTCGGAATTATGCGTCAGCCAACTTTCTCGGAGTTGGATATCTCGCAAACGCCGCTCTCTGTCTTTCTCTCCATCTCGTCTCCTGCTCCCTTCGAAATCGCGAAG